AAGGTTTTGTTGTGAAGGGGAGGCAGGGAAGCTCAGAGCCTGCAGAGCTACAGCAGGTTATCACTGCTCTAAGCAATCTCATCAGTGTCCTGCATCTCAGGGGCAAAATCCAAAAAGCTCAGCCCTTCCCCCAGTAACAGACTTTTCTGAATAGCTTAGATCAGGTAGTAGAAATGGCAAACAGCCCTTGTGCTGTGACATGGGACATGTAAGGAGAGCAATAATAGCAGCACTGATACTGCAGCTTTGCTGGGACTTTCTGTCAGACTGGAAAACTGCTGCTTTAAATAGTCTTCTGGTTTCTCTAAGGGAAGAAAGAGCATTACTGGTCTGCAGTTCTAGTTTTACTTTTGTTTATAGTTAATAGTTTTACCCCGTGTCCCTCCCTCCTCTCCTTTCTATCCTAAGTTTTAGGTACATTTTTGATTCCTAATCCACTGGATGTAACACATTCTTTTCTACCTACCTCATCAGCATTAATATCAGTGTTCCCTCCTCTGGCTACAGGTGGCCAGACATTTACATAGGTTTGAGCACCATGGGCAAGAACATGTCTGTCAGCAGCATCTGGAGCGCCATCGACACAGCCCTCGCGGGGTTCACCACCAAGGCCCCCTCCCCTGCACCCCCAGCACCCCAGAGCAGGACAGTGACGATTGAACTGATGGTGCACCCAGGGTACCCCAGTGTCCCACCCGTTGGTGGCTGTGGGGAAGGACCAGATGATTTCTCACAGTCCTGGGAGCGCCTCCATGAACTCCAGACGTTAATTAAGCCAGAGCTGCAGAGCCATTACAAAACCAGGAACATTCAGCTTTGCTCATTCAAAGATCTTTGAGTGAACCAGCACATGCACCTCTGCACATTCACTCATACTCTGAAGACAGGCAGTTGCTTATGTCCTGAGAAGCCAGACCACTGTTATCAGTGTGATGCTTCCTGGTACCACTGACAGGAGCTGGGAACAGCATTATGATGGTCACAGAAGAGCAACACCCTGGGAGCAGCTACAGGGAGTACCCAGCCCTGAGTGCAGTTTTTAGCCCACACCATCTGCTCTGAATGTGACAAACCTCACCTGCGTCACCTGCTCACGCATCTTTCCACTGCAGCCTGGCAGCCAAGGGCCAGCCCTGCTCCCAGGGCTCAATTCCTGCCAAAACCATGGTGAGCAGCAGGAAGACAGGCCTTGCTGCCAGACCCAGTGGCACCACAGCACCCTCCAGGTTCTGATCAGTTCTCTTTTTGGACCTCACACACAAAAAAAAAAGGGGAGCAGGTGCTGCTTTGGAGCAACTGCCCAGTGTAGGCTGCTCACAGGAGGCCTGAAAACATTCAGCATTTGATTTTCTTAAAGCATCCAGTCATGGTCCCTCCCCTTTCCTCACTGCAGGGCACACAGTTACCTGTGAGTGTTGCTCTGGGCAGAGCAGCAGGATCACGGGTCCAGCCCAGTGGTGTCTGCAGCCGCATTCCATGTGCAGCCTCTGCCAGCAGCGATTACAGCTCTTCCTATTTATGTTGCCTCTTGGCATGAAGCCACTGCAGGAAAGTCCCACCAGCTACAGCCCTTTCAGAGAGGCTTTTCTTCTTTTCTTTTTTTTTAGATGACTTTGCAAGAACAGCAACTGTTGACCCAGCTGCTATTTTAGTAGCTGCATGAGGGCACATCAGCAACTGTTCCTGTGCTGCCTCTCAGGAACAACATGTGGGGTGGTTGCATTCCAGCTATGGGCAAGTTTTAAAGTGGAGAAGCTCCTTGTCCATTTTTGTTCCTGTCACCAGAGCATTTGAACTTCAACAACCTCTAGTAACACTGATGCATTTCACTGCCTTCTTACCTGTAACCCTGTTGCTCGAGTATAAATTTCACATGGGGGGAAAAAAAAATTAGATTGTTTCTGCTCATTTTCTGCACAAAAGTGATCTATTTAATGTAATCGTTTTTGTTAACTTTTAAAAAATATTACAAATTCCAATGTGATCGTTCTTTTAAGTGAAAAATAAACTCAGGCCTTTTTCTACTGAAAATGCTTCGGAGGCTTTTGGGTTTAGTTATAGCTGGAGGGCAAATTGAACCCATCACCTCTGGTCTTTCAGCACTGGAGGGACAGCTCTGCCAGTCACAGGAACCATATGACCTTCCCTATCAAACATCCGAGGACGTTTTTGCTCTGTGCAAATATGAAAAACATCAAAGATGTTTTAGGAAATGCTTTTCCAGGTTCTTTCCTAAATTATTGTCACAGAATTAAATAAAAACACCTTGTCACTTATCAAATTATGAAAAACCATCCACTGTTCCATGCGTGTACTCACCACACAGCCCAGCCAGATGGGAGCACTGGTTACCTGTTGGAATGACTCGAGCTGTGAAGCTTGTCCCATCGGTGCTTGACGGCAAAGTTCCTGCTACGTGACAACAGAGAATAAAAAACCGCAAGAGATCAGCTCTGCCGGGAGCAGCTGAAGTTCCAGAGCGCAGGCAGACCCGTGAGTGCCACCTTGTGTCTGGTGAGACTTCATTCACATGCAGCGATCAGCCTGATGGCAACACTGGTTTTAAAACCAGATCTCAGCTTTTTATGTTACGTGACCATATTATGATGGATACCTTTTGACTTTATTTTTCACATGTAAGTTGCTCCAATTCTAACTGATCTAACTGATCAATTCTAACTTGCTCTGATCACAATCCTCAGGACGGTCCACACCAGCTGCATGTATGTCCTGCCAGATGGACACTGCAAACACAGCAGCAATTGGACCCGAGTTTGTATCATGAACAAAAAAAAAATAATTGCAAATTCCATATTTTAAAATGAACAGCATTAAACTCCAAGTTTTCTTTTCAATTCAAGGGAGTTTTAAATAAAGAACTACTAAAAGACATTCTAACTAAGGAAACTTTCAATTGTGTAAAACATGGAGATAAGGAAGTTCCTCAGTGGTTCTATGAAAGCTTTAAAGACAACACTTAATTAAAATTAAAACCACATTCAGAGCACCTCAGATGAATCTCATTGTACCAGGACATGCAAGGAAAGAAGTCTAAACCCCAGATCTCTCTGAAAATAAAACCATGCCACAAAGCCTTTGAGAGCAATTTTTATTAGGGTAGCAGAATGGAATTGCAGAAAGCCTGTACCAGTACTCCTGGGTGTAGTTTCACCAGTGTTTTTATTTTGGATATTAAACTGCATGTTTGGAATTCAGCACGGCTTGGGGAACCAGAGAGAACAGAGCTGGGTTTCCTGAGTTAACATAGGACTTCGCAGTTGGATGTTTTCTCCTCGGCCTTCAACCACACAGTACAGGATTTGATCTCTTTCTCAGAGAGCTGCCTACAAACAAAAGCCATCACTTCAGTTACACATCCTGTGGTTTAGAAATGGCACGATGAAGAGCACACCAAGAGAACTGACAGCAGTATCTGTCTCCTGCACGACCGCTGCAGATGGATCGGGATGGTCGGCACAGCGCTGCTGAGGGCCTGCAGGGATGGGCTGGAGACCCTTCCCCTGCCCTCCCAGTGGCCTCCCAGTCACAGACAGACACAATCTTTGACCTGAGAGGCTTACAACCAGGAAGTACACTATTTAATAGTAAGGGCAGCAAACTAGTGCTACAGTTTTGTTTTAAATAAAAAGAAAATTCAGAGACTAGCAAGTTTCCATGCCAACAGACATGATCGAAAGGTACAGTGACTCATGTGATGCGGAAGTTATACACACTTCAGTTTGACAGATAATTTGGCATTATTTTATTATGAATCCAAGTGACCGTAAATGAAACAAAATCAGTACCAACTTTCTGCAAATGAAGACACAGAGATGTGAAAATTTGGTAATAGACAGTGCTCTCACAAGCCTGAAAACACTTAGGAAATGCAAGTTTCCGTAAATAAGGTGAAAGTGGTTTAACTTTATTTACCTGCCAAAGAATCTGTCTAAGAACACTTAAACATAAAATTTCTTAGCTCCCTAACTCATAAAAAAATTTACTTTCAGAGGTGAGGTACTGGGCTGTCATTGTTTACACTAAATGGGAAATGAAAGGTGGATGAGAGGGATGAGTGAAGAAATAGCAAATATACAAGACATTAAAACCAAAAGAGACCTACCGCTCAACACACTAGTTCCAAAAGGTTGCAAAGGCAGAGGCTGTATTAAAACTGAATATAGGAATACAGACAACCCTGGGCATGAGGGCTTTTCCAATTCAACTTCCTGCACATCAGAATGATATGTGCTCCCAGATATCTACAGATTTCTGGAGATACATGTTTGCTGAGTAACACACCCGAGTTCGACAGGCGGGGAAGAGGCGGCAGTTTGGCTGTGGTGGTTTGACTGGAGCTGTGGCCACGCTTCAGGCTGGGGGGAGAGGACAGGCAGGCAGGAGAGAAGCAGAGACACGGTAAGAGATGCTCAGTCCTGAACAGAAAGGGCTTCCCTGAGCATGCAAAGGTGTGCCCTGCAGCAACAGGAAAGCAGCTCTGCCTGGTTAAGTTAGAATGATACTCAAAGTGCTCATTAAATCATCTAACCTGTGTGTTTTTAGAACACAGGAACAGCAGTAGTGAAGCGTCCTCTGTTACAGGTTATTGCTTAATCCTATTCTTATACCATTTTCAGTTGGGCTAGGAAATGGCAGGAGTGCCACCCTGTGAAACCTAGATGTTTCTTACACATCCTGATGGAAAAATATTCTAAGATGACTAGCAGTGCTGTTGGATTTAGTACTTGAATCCCAAATTCACATTTCCAAAATACTGATTTTTAACTCACAAAATAGTTTATCACTTTGGTACCTCTTGGTCCCCAATTTCTGAAGCTCTTCTAAACTGGTTGCAATGTTGTTCTGTGCACGTTTCCCTAGGTATTAAGTGAAACAAGTTTGTAATCACATTCCACTACTCTTTGCTACAGATTTTTTTCCCAAAGTTTTCCAAAAGCAGGACATAAGCCATATTTTAATTCAATGACGCACACAAAAACTTGGGTTTCCCCATTTAATAAACATTTTGTGGTGACATCAGCCAGATTTACATAAGACCTGGACATTATTGATGATTGTTTTTGTGGGGTTTGTTTGCTTTTTTTTGTTTGTTTATTATGTTACAAACTGGAGTTAAGGGGAACTTGCAACAAGTCCCACAAAGCACAGTGCAACATTTAAAAAGGAAAGTAAACAAAACTGCCAAACACTCAATCATTTCCTGCCAGAACTGGGATATTTTTTTTCCTAAGACATCAGTTTGGAGAGGGGGATAAAATTCAATGAAGAATTAAATGAACTAAAGACAGTGGGAACTGCAAGGAGAAATAAGAAATGACAGCCACAACCTTTTCAATTTAAGGGCAGAATATAAGTCTAAGATATTTTTGATAAATTCTGACAAGAAAAAGAAAACAGCATACTTTAAAGTATATTGAAGCAGTGATTTTTAAACAAAGAAAGCAGAACTAGAACATCTTAAATTTTAATCCTTTCTTTACAGGTTACCTAGCCCACTTTTGATTAAGAAAACTGTAGAAAGTTAGTAACAGCCACAAGTTAACACCGAGAGGTGGCACTTGTCAATTTTCCATAGAGTCCTGCTTTACGGGGTGTCTCAAATGCACTGCTCCGATCTTCTATCATATGTTGCTGACATCAGTTTTGTCAGATTTTAGTCCACTGGTCGCTTTTCACCATATTTCTTTGTAAACTCTTCAGCGTTCTTACAGAATTTTTTACGGTCCTTAGAGTATTCTTCAGCTAGGTCAGCCCGGAGGGGATGCTCGGGCTGTGGATCATTCACCAGTGCTATGAGGGACTGGATTACTGTCAAAAGAAGTATAAACACTGTCAGAGACAAAGTGGTTAATTAAAAAAAAAAAATCAAAATGTAAGCAAAATTCCCCAGTAAGAAAAGAGCTTTAACTGCATTTAAATACAGCCCTATAAATCTAGGGTCCTTTCAAAAGCAAGAGCATGAATAAACTACAGCAATATGCCAAGATTTAGTTCAATGACCGTGAATGAACACCAGAAAATCGTATTTGTAAACAAAATCAACTTGAACAGAGACCAAAATGGTCTACAGATTATTTCCCATGTAACTGGCATCCTATCTGAAATAATTCTCCTATGGCTAAGAAGGAAACTATAAGTTTCACAGAAAGTTCATCTAAAAGGGATTAGGAAAAAATAGAATTCCATCATGAAACTGTTTTCCTAACACCTGTCCCAGTGATGCAGTTGTAACTGGGCCTGCTTTTGGAAACCATTTTTTTTCCCCCAGCTTCATCTTTCTATGACTCTTACTTCCCCCCTATCATCATAGTCAGTTCTTCCCTTTGTTCTTAAACACCCTCTAGCAGACACACCAGACAAACAAACGGCTAAGAACGGTAAGATGCTTTTCACCCCCCAGCTTACAGCCATTTCATCAATGCTCCCCTATCACTTTCAAAGGAAATGTCATTCTTAAAATAACTGAACTGCACTTGACATCCACACAGTGAACCTCACACACTACAATGACATTCACTGCTACCTTTCCCTCATATACATTCTCACAACCATTTAAAGCTAGATAGGTCACAACAATCAGGGGTTCTCACACCCAAGCCTACAGAAGGTGAGTGTGCAGCACAAGCATTTCACTGTTCAACATGAATAATATTCCATTTGAGGTAAGTTTGGGCTGCCCAGAGTAACACAAAGTACCACCCCTACAGTTTTTAAATCAAGTATAACAAAACTCTGCTAACTTCACCCATGGCACACAACAGGCAGCTGCCTCCTCCTGAACTCAGGTAAAACAATGACACACCATCCAGTGGCAAGGAGATCCACCAAAAAACAGCTACTCAGCAGTTTAACTGGATTCTCCCTAGTTTTGCACTCTGAGTTCTTACAATATTAATCACTCCAGTAGATGCTGGAATACCAGAGTGGCTCCTTTCTGAGCATCAATCTCCTCATGCTTATATTCTTCTCCCCCCTTACCTGATTGGAATGGGGAACATACCTTAAACAAATACTAAAAAACCAGAGGAATATGCTTGTTGGTATATTGCTAAGCAGGAACATTTCTTACCACAAATCAGAGTTTAAACTAAACCAACCACCCAGGGAATGTAGAATTGTTACTAGCTTACTTCACAGGAACTCACCAGTCCTGGACTTATGACAACTATCATCATATGAATGACTACTGATGAAACTACCATCAATACTGCACATGACAATCACTTTTCACTCTGTAAAACACACTAAAACACTACAGGAAAGCGTTACTGTGTTAATTAAGGTTATTTAACACACAAGCCAGAAAAAAACCTAGGATTGTCATAACAGGTTTTGACTGGATTTGCCTCAAAACTCACAGCATTTTAAAACTATACTGTCACAACAGTCTGCTTTACTATTAAGCATAAATTAATAAGAAGCACAGCAGCAAGATGCACTTTTAGTACATGAAAGGTAACTTAATGATTTATGATTGAACCTAATCTCTCTGCTTTCTTGACACCTGACTGCTCAAAACTAAGGACACTTATGCTGCAATAATAACGTTGCATAATTTCCTTGAGAAAGGCCCAAGTAGCACAGACTGATGATTGCTTGTCAGTGCAGAAGAGCTCTGGAGAATCAGGAACAGACACTTAAACAGGGCTGTAATAACACTGCTGCAAGCTCATGCAGTGATGTAGTAACAGATGTTGACATTAAAAAGACTTATTGAAGAAAGAATTTTAAAAAAAAGACCAAAAAACCAGCAGAAATTGAAAGATTTGCAATATTTTGGTACCCACGGTTTGCTGTAAATTCTGATTTTGGCATAGATTTAATTCACTCAGATAAAAAGGGAACTGCTAGTTCTCAAGGAGACACTATTTCCTGCATGTAAACAATGGCTTCAACAGTTCCAACTAGTGCCACCTGCATTTCAAGCTGGTGGAGACATTATGTTCTTCCTTTAGTCAACTGAAGAAGGCTCCTAAGATAATACGACTACTAAGGTGTTAACTCATCGCTCCCATTTCATCTCTGCCAAGGATCTTTGTCCTGTATAATCTGGGATAAATCAACAAATCATAAGATCTTCACTGATCTATTTGAGTTGAACAGGTTCTTTTTGCTGCTACCTCAGCTTTCCCCAACATTCGACTGCTTGATCTTTTCTGAAACAACTACAGGAATTCTTCTATTTTGTCTCTGGGGCAAGACCATGCAAACTGTTGGTAATTTTAGTAGTGTACACAGGAAAAAAACCTACAGCATTGTTTACCATCAGGAACACAGTTCTACTGAAAACAACCCTCAAGAGGAGTCTGGAAGAAAGATACTGTCTCTTCCAGAGCAACATACTTGCTCTGAAGCTCTTGCTCTGGACTAAAACTGCTGATTTGAATTGGTAGTAGTACAAAAATGCAGTTTTTGAAAGGATGTTTGCTCTTTCTACATGTACAATAATAAATGTTTAGTATCAAACTAATAATTACCTGCCAGAAAACATTAAATTCTCACCCCAACAACTAATGGAAGCAACAACAACAGAAAAAGCCTACTTGGATCGCACTCCCAGGCTGCCACAGAACCTGATAATTTTTCTTAAAATATTTAAATTCTTATCCAAAGACACCCACACACTAAGCCTCACAGCAGTGACTTTTTAAGAACTAAGAGTTAATTTGTGTTATGATTTCAGGCTTTGTTTATGACTCCCCAGATGTTTCAAACCGTGTATTCAAATCACTGAACCACCCAGCAGATACTATAAAATATACAAAACCCTGAGGTTTTAGACCCTTTCTTTCACACATCCAGGAATGCACTGAACAGGATTATAAAGTCCCTGCTTAAAAAAGAATCATAAAATAACCTCCACACAAACTACACCCAGAAATTTTAAGTATGCTGAGGACACTACCATAATAAACTCTGAAGTCATAAGAAGTGTTGTGGTTTCCTGGAGGTGGACATGCCACGTGCCAGTGTCATTACCTTATGTTTCAAGTAACAAAATGAGATTCCAAGAGAGTTGCACATTGTGCTCACAACACCTGACTCATGACACAAACCTTATAACAATGAATACAGCCTAAGAGCCATGACCAGCTGAGAGGCTGAAACCCGAGGAGCTCTAAATTTAAACACAACACAAACTTTCTTGATATCCAGTTCTTCCTCTACATGGAGTCCTACCTTGGTCAGTTTTGGTTGCTGGCTTCCAGTTTTCAGCACTAATTACTGGCAGACAAACCTGCCCCTTTTCATCGATGTTAGGGTGATAGATCTTTGTTTTAAATGTAATCTTAGGAGGTTTGAATGGATATTCTGCTGGGAAGTTGATTTCGATTCTGAAGGCTCCTTTATCATACGGAGGATTGTCCTGCAACAAGAAGGCAGAATGTGAAGAATCTGGTGTATTTTAATTAAGAAAAAGCACACTCCAGGCTTTGATCTATCAAATGACCTCTTTTGAAGGCACTTTCTTCCAACACATACTGTCGTGTCTGTGTGTCAGGAAACATCAAAACCTATTTGGTAGAAGAGAGGCAATACAACCTCTACAACATTTGTATTCACCCTGGAAAAAGCAGATTACAATTGTTCTGAAGTTGTCTGTCATTGTTACTGGTAAGAAAGCATGCAATCCCATTTATTCCAAGGGTAGGGTCCTATCTAGTAAGTAGTTTTATTCCCAGCATTGTATTTCAACAAACATAGTGAACCCTTCCCAAGATACAAACAGGAAGTCTGACAAGGTGTATTGATTTCTCTAAACCTACTTATTGTACGTGTCTCACAAGATGGTGGCATGAAAAGCAAAGCAATTAGATTTGCCAGATCTCCCTATATGTTCCGAGAATCATTTTGTGCTGACTACTCAAAAACCTGCTGAGCATTAATTGGTACTAAAGATAGATATTCACTGTGTCTGCTGATGAGAACATTCTGAATTTGTATGCAGTTTTAGCACCCACTCTTATCAGATCATTTTTGAAGGAGCATGATGAGAGAACTGTGAAGTAAGGAAAGTAGCTCTTCATGCTGAAACAGAAAAAACAATGTCCAGAATCTCATTTAGAAAACCTGTTAGACTATTGACACTGCTTCAAATCCTGCAGAAAAACCCCCAAATCATTGCTACATTTAAAGCCTATGAAAATACCACTCTGCACTGAAAACAGTAACTATGGCATGGAGCCTTTCCAAACACTCTAGGGAACTAGGAACTGAAGGATCAGAATTCCCAATTGGTGTAAAGTATAATCACACACATTCTTCATCAGCAACCAGACCAGTCCCTGCCATCAAACCAACTCTGGAAGCTAAAAAAGGTTTAGCAATATTTGGGGGTGGGAAGTGTTCTATTAAAATATTATTAAACACAAAACATTTTATTTTAATCTACATGGAGAAGTCTGGTTATGTGTTTCTAGGAAAGGCAGCACAATTTCTACAGTCAAGAGAAGAGGCAACTAGAGTGTCTTTAAAATTACTTTTTATCCAAGCAACCCTAAAAGCTTTGGAAGTTTAACAAATAACTTTCTGGTGGTGGTGACAACTGAAGCAGTTAGTGCCCTCTGTCCCCATGCCTCACTTGTTCTCACTTCCAGCACCCACTGTAATTTGTGAGGCTGTTCAGTGAACTGACCTGGCTTCAAAATGTCCATGCTCTGCTTGAATGTCAGTCAGGACAGTTCTTCACTATAACTTGTAAATAAACTGAACTAAAAATGTATATAAAGTGTTGTTCATATTTTAAATAGACAAAACAAAGAATATGCAAACAATTACTTTCCCATAATTTGTTATACCTATTTTGATACTGACAAGGGAGAGAGTAAGAATTATAAATACCAACACAAACCACAAACATGATTTACATTAACCTGGAGTATCTTTGCTTTGCAAAACTTTGTCCATAGCAAGCAGATTTGATTAGCTGAAATGAAATTCATGGTACTCCAACAGTACCTCTGGCAAGAACAAGGAGCCTGGGGTAGACAGTCTTGTTATGATGTTGAAATACAACAAAGACTGTACCTCTTATTCTACAGTTTAGAACAGGAAAAGAAGTTGACAAGCTATCTCAAATCTGCCTCTCAATGGAGTAAGCACCCTTAAAAAGTAACATTTTTAAGCCATCAACTCCAGCATTGCAACAGCTAAAAAAAATTATCTTAAGACTACAACATCTCCTATAGTGTATCTTCAAAATTACCACACTACTCTTCAAAACACACAGGAGACTTTAGTAATTACTATCATAAATATAATTTCATTACAAAATCCCTCTTAATTATTCCAGTAGTGAATTTCAGGTTATTTCCCGTAGAAGAGGGCACATTATAAATCAAAAGGCAGGTATGAAGCACAGTTCACTGCAACAACGTTTAACACTTGTGATGTTGTGAACCTTTGCAAAACAAACACTAAGCTCATACTCTGGTGAGCAGAAGCTGTTAAAAATAGATGCTGTACACCACATACTGCTAATGCTTACAGGAATAAACAAGCATTTTGATGTTTTGCTTTATTAGTCATATTTACCAACCTTCTGCTTCAAAGTATTAACCAAGCAGTAAACTGTTACACAGGAACCACAAATACCAGTGTGGCTCATGAAATGTGCTGCTTCTCAGCTCTGTCAAATTCTAATGTCAAATCCTGTTTGCTTTATTAGCCTCAACCACTCAATGGAGTTACTTGCAAGAATACAAGTAAACAGTAAATGAAACATTTTCTGCAGTATTTAAAGTGCAAAGGCCTGGATTATCTCAGCTTGTGTGATCTGAATTTGGGAATGGTCTCCAACTAACAAAGCAGAGACACTGCTAAAGAGATGTTTCAAAGTCTTACAAAAAGATTTACTCTGGTCAGGGGACATTTTTGGTAGCACCAGGAAAAGGAGGAACTGAGGCCCTAGTGGCACAGCCCCTACTGATGCAGACTTGAAAGTAGTTCATGCAAGGAAGGGAGCATGGACCCTGGCAGTGGAAGATAAAGGAGGTGAAAATGCAAATAACTTCAACCAAGGAATTCAAAACACTAGATTTCCTGCTTTCTTCTTAGTAACAAATCTCTCTCTATTTGACTAACACAGTGGTTATCAACTTCTATTAAGCATTTTCCCAAAAAACAGTAGTGTTTTATAAAATTAAAGTGGGGTGTTTTTTGGCCTTAATTAATGCCCAAATAAAAAGACTATTTTAAAGAGCTTCATTCTGAAAATTCGAACCTTTTCCGTGCATCAAACTTTTCCCAACACTCAGTTTTATCCTACAAATAAGTCTAGTCAATTAAAAAAAATAAAATCTATTAGAGGGGTAAACAAAATATTTCACACCAGGCTTTTTACTATGATAATGTAGACTCTGTACATGTACATTACTGTAACAAACTACAGACTTCATTTGCTTCCCCTTCCAACACCTCTCCCAAGTTCCCACAGCCCTGAGCAGCTGCAGCCAAGTGTTTGACCAGGCCTACAGTTATGAAGCATCCAGGCAGGTATTGATCAAGGAAGTCTAGAACACCTGTCAACTACATATGGATTTTTATTTGGAGTAGTGGTAGGAAACACCCCCTGACATCATCAGACTTCAAATAAAACAGAACATAGAGGACACTCCCAATAAAACGAAACAGGAAGATGACACTATTTGCCCAAGATTACATAAGATGTCTGACAAGACAGGAATTAAATCTAGGATCACACTTCACTGCTCAGAGCATGTCTAAGGCGCTGCAGCATAATCTATATGACCTTATATTGTATTTATCAACAACTGGCTTCTGCACAAACCCACAACTCTGAAAGCCAGGTTTTATAATTATGAAAGAGAACTTTGTCAGGCTGCAAAAGTTGCCTTATCACCAGCAGCACTGCTG